GATGGCTGCTAGAAGCGAGACCAGTGCCACATGCAGAGACGAGCAGAGATGAGCAGAGATGTGAAGAGACAAAATGATTAACGGGCAGGACAAAATCGTTTAAGAGCGGGACAGAACAACTCAAGAGCAATCAGTATAGTTTGTGGTAAAGCATGCAGCATGCTGATACGGACTCACATCGGTGCGCAGCGGCTTGTGGCCTATGGCCACTTGGCGGAAGCCGAGGCGAGCAAAGAGGCGTAACTCGTAGGGTAACCACCCACCCTCAGGCCCCACTGCTAGCACCACATCGTAGGATGCACGGAGGGAGGGAGGGAGCAGGCGCTCTGGAATGGCAGGGAGGGAGGGAAGGAGAGGGGACGATAAAAGCCTTTTCGAATCAATTCAGATTCCTCCCTCTGATTGCACTGCTCGCACACACCACATTGTAGGATGCACTAAGGGAGGGGGGAGCAGGCACTCTGGATGGGGGACACGGAAGATGCAGCTGCGCAAGCGACTCTCTGAGGGTCTAGAATTCATTTTAAGGCGCCACGTTATAGCCCGCCAAAAGCCCGCCTGCCAGCCCCACTGTTCAAACCACATTTCCTATTTTTCAAGTGCTTAAAAAAAAAAAAAAAAAAAAAGACATTCAAACAAGCAAAAAACAAAAAAAAAAAAAAAGGAAGGGGGGAAGGGGCCCTCTGACCACACCACACTGTAGGATCTAACGAGGGTGGGAAGGAATGCAAGATGCCAGAGGTTACGATTGCGAGGAAGGTAGTAGGGGTTGAAAGAGATGGGAGTAGGGAGATGGAAAGAGGGGAGCAGGGAGATGGAAAGAGCAGGGAGGGAGGGAGCGAACGATGGTAGGAGGGACGGGGAGACGAAAGGGAGTGCATGGTCGGCTACGGTTGGCCTCACCATGCCTTGCCACTGCCTCACCATGCCTTGCCACTGCCTCACGAACGCTTGTTGACCCTCCGCTCCTCCCTCCACCACCAGTACCCTCCCTTGCATCCAGTGCACCTGCAGCTGCAGCCTCCCCGTCATCATTACCACCACCCTCTCCTGCGCTCTGCCACTCTGCGTCGCCTTCTGCGTCGCTCCCTGGGTGTGCGAGCAGCAGCAGAGTACCGGTCAGGACTGGAGGCACGAGAGGTGGCGTCGCTGTGATGGTACCCGCAGGTTCATTGGTGGGAGCATCTTCTGCTGGTGTATCAGCAGGAATATGAGCTCGAGGTGAAACCGACGGAGTGACAAAAAGCGAATCATGATTTGAGTCGCTGGTGTATGAAGCTGCTGATTGGTCCACGTGGCTGCTGTGCGCAGCTGCTGATTGGTCCAGCTGGCTATGCCTCTCCAGAGAATCCAGGTGCGGGAAGAGGAAGGTGAAGAGAAGCTTCTTCAGCTGCAGATGGACGGACACAGATGGAAGGTGCGTGTCGCCGACCTGTGGGATGGAAACACGTGGCAGCAAGTGTGTCAGGGGAATTGAGTCATGGCAAGTCAGTGCTTTAAGTCAACAGCATGTTGTCAGCTCAGGATATCCTATGCACTGCATGGCATGTTCGTGCATGTAAAGTTCTGAGACGCCCCAACAGTTACCACGCACAAAAGAGCCACTCCAAAGGAGCGAGCGCCCAGAGAAAACCTTCTCCTTTTGAGCTAACTTAGAAGTGAGGAATCTCACGGAATGTGCTCTGTTCCCCCGCCCGCGTCTCCCAACGTTCTATCGCGCACACACACACACACAGCCCGCACAACATCAAGCGTCTGGCACAATGATCCAATCCGTCCCCCTCACCTGCTCTGCACCAATCAGCAGCTCCTGCCGAACAACCTCGGGCAGCAGTGCCTGGCTGTCGAAATAGAACCTTTCAACCCGGGCAGCGTTGCAAATCATCACGTCCTGAAGGGCAAACTGCCCGAGAATCGACCTGCGCTGTTGTGACGTCACACCCACTCACACCCATGCATGCAGCAACAGCACACCCATACCCAAACCCACGTGCACATGAACACACCACACACGCAAGCGCACGGGCTCCACACATGCTTGTATGTGTGCATGATATGATCCATGAATGCGTCATCTGTGCAGCTCATGGCATATGACCAGAACCACGTGCATGAACACTTGCTGCTTTGAGAATAACATGTCTCCTTTTGCAGCAGAATAAACTCGATCACAGAGAATTCTTCCACACAGCCCACTGAATACAGCTACTGCACTGCCCCCCTCCTCACCCTCTCTTGCACCCAAAAGGCCTCCAGCCCTGGTCCCCTCTCACACTCAACATCACAGGCTGCAGCTGCTCGTCGCAGTGAACCCCCCCAGGCTAACCAGAGGCTTTGACCACTCTCACCGCTCTCAACCCCTCGCCCTGCATCCCCTCACACTCACCAGAGGCGCGGCATGGCCTTTGGCCCTTGAGTCTTACAGACCCCTCAAGCCTCTCGCACCGCTCTCAGCCCCTCAGCGTGCACTCCCCAGGCTTACCAGAGGCGCCGCATGGCCTTGGGACGCGGCATGGCAAGGAGCAGCCGCAGCCTGCGCTGTGGTGACGTGGCGCTCTGGGATTGGTGGGAAGTGGGAACTGGTGACTGGTGCGCGGAGAAGGAGGAGTGAAGGAGAAGACGTGAGGCAGAGTGGTGGGGTTGGGTAGAGGAGGAGGAGGAGGAGGAGGAGGAGGAGGAGGAGGAGGAGGAGGAGGAGGGGGGGGGAGGAGGAGGAGGAGGAGGAGGAGGAGGAGGAGGAGGAGGAGGAGGAGGAGGAGGAGGATTGCTGAAAGGTACGGGTGCTGGCTCTAGCTGTTGCTGTTGCTGCCCTCATTGCTGCTGAACCGGTAACACCAGACCCACTGGCAACACCAGAAGTTACTTGGAAGTTGCACTGCAGCAGGAAACCAGCATCATCATCAGCATCATCATCATCACAGCCACCACCATCGTTCGTGTGTGCTTCACTGCCGCCCCTCTCATCCCCACTCCTCCCATTACCGGCTACCCCGTAACCCCTGCACTCCATCCCCTCCTCCGCCTCCTCGCCCCCCTCCCCGCCCTGCGCCCCTCCTTCCCCGCCCTCCGCACCCTGCGCCTCGCTGCTGCCGCCCCTGCCTGGCACAATGCGCGCCACCTGTGAAGGGGGGCGACGGGGACGAGGGGCAGCGGGGGGGGTGGGGGGAAAGGGGGAGAGAGCGGGGCGGCGAGGGGTGAGGTGGGGGTAGGGGGAGGGAGCGGGGAAGCGGGAGGCGACGGGGAGGGGGAGGAGGGAAAGCGGGGCAGCAGGGGGTGAAGGGCGTGACTCTCTCTCTCTCTACCCCCCACGCACACCGCACTCTCTACCACCTGGCCAGGCCCACCCGCACTCACTGTAGCGGTGCCGGCAGGGCCGTTCACGATGCCGATCCGAACCTTCTTCCCCACGCCTGCCCGCAACACGCGCCGCATGTGGCGGGCGCGCGAATCAGACGCTGCCAGCTCGATGCTCCCATCCCGCCCCACCTCGTGCGGCTCGAACAGGATTCGGTTGCGCGACTCGATCTTCAGCAATTTGCAGGCGCGTTTGGCGGCGGGATGCGCCAATCCCCACCACCTGCCGAGCCGCGCCGGCGGACTCCTGCGGTTCGAGCTCCGCGAGTCATGTATCAGAACAATTATGTCCGAACGTGTCAGTGCATCGAGACTCTCCGTCCGCGCTCTCCATTGCGCGTTGCGGGGGCTGCGGAGCAAGCAAAGAGGCTTTCCCTCTGCTATCGGCGGTGAGCGCACGTGCGCGCGATGGGCTGCAGTGGGGGGCACAACGATGGCGGAAGATCGAGGCATTTCCCGCGGAAAGCGTCCAGTTGCGGAGATCGTAACATGGGTGGAGCGGACAGCGCACGACGAGCTTGTGCTTGGGGCCGCCAACGAAGAAGAATGATAACTCCGCGACGCGAGAATGCCGACCATGAGGTTTACTCGAAGGAAGATCGCTGAATTGCGGAAAGCAATTTCAGTATCGAATATAGATTTCGGGCTCTGATTTGAAGTACTCGAGTAACAACTAATCGTTTTCGCGAAATTGAATTCGCGAAATTCGTGGATGCGATATTCTGCGCCGTTACGAACAGCCCAATTCGCGGGGCAACCTTCCGCGGTCCAACCTGCGACAAACTTTTGGATTTTGAGGACCACGTAACAGAGGTGGAATTTTCCCAACCCCGAACTGACTTTTGGGATGTGGGACGGGCTATCACGAGCCCGAAATGCGGCCTCGAGTGAACATGAAAGTTGCACTTTCTTGGGTCGAGGACCTGCTTCAGATCGTCACAGGCTCAAGAATTTCCGCTGCATCACTTCGCATCATTCTCGAGCCAAACCCCTCATCTGGGTCTGTCGAACCCGAGGTGTGGTGTGGTTTGGATGTCAAGTTTGATCTGGATTGTCTGGGGTGAGCTCGCGAAACTCGTGACATACGACGGTATCTGCGCAGCGTGAGACGGGCCAACCAGGTTCCAGTAAAGTAACTGGAGGAGGCGCGCTGTGTAGTGCAGATCGTGAAGTGTGATGGCTGGATGGGGAGGAAAATGGCTGCACCAAGGCAATGCAATGCAATGCGCCTCCCCATTCCCCCAACCCCCCCTTCCTCCTTGGCACAACAGTTACAAAGCAGCCGCAGCAAGGCAAAGCACCCCTTCCCATTCACCACAGCAAAGCACCCCCCTTGCTGCAGGCCCCTGTTTGTGCTTCTGCCCTTGCCATGCTGTTGCAGCAGCCATCTTTGTTGTATCTTCTGCCCCTGCAGTTGCCCCTGCTTTTGCAGTGTGCGACTCTTCGCTCCTTTACAGCCCTCATTGCCAAGCAGTGCAGAGGGCAGCAGGCGTTGTATTGCAGGCCTGTCGGTTGTCTAGCTAGCAGTGTCATTCACGTCGCGCTTGTTCGCGTCGAGGCATCAGGAGCAGCCCCCCCATTCCCAAAACGAGGCATCGCAAGCAGCAGACGTATCTAAGCAGCAGAGGCATCGGAAGCAGCCGAGTATGTCGTCGACGGAATCGGAGTCGCTCTCATTCCGCGACGTCGTCTTTCTCCCTGCCGATGCCGCGCCGCCCTATTCCCAAGAGGAGCCCGACAGCCCGCACTCCGACTCCCCACGCAGCAATCAACGCGACGCGGACGTCCTAAATGATCGACGAAGCGCAGACATTAACCAGCAGCGCTGGGGCTTCTTAAACGATCGGCGCGCAGACTTCAATGGTTCAAGCGTAGACTCCCGCGCCGCCGCTATCGACAACTTGCCGCTACAGCCGACCGAAAGCAACGGCGCCTCGTTAGAACCACCAGCCATGCGCCTGCCTTCTTTTTCCTTCGTCACCGCGCCGCCAGTAGAAGGGCCGAGGAAAGCAAACCCGCCTGACCATGAGCGCGGCCCCGAGTCGGGGGGCCCGATAACAGCCGCTACAGATACCATAAACGAGAGTAGTGGTACTAGTCCACAAGAACGTCATATTGGTGCTGGCGCGTCATCCGATTACGTATTGGTGCGCCTTGACGGTCCCGATCTGGCCTTTCCTCTGCACACGCCGACGCCGTCCGGCGCGCAACGAAAGCTCTCGCGAATGCTGGCGAAAAAGCGCAGCGACGGCTGCGAAGCCCGCGAAGTGGCCAGTTCACCTTATCGCACCTCCCCGTCGCCCGACTCGCCCCCTCAGTCGCTTTCCTCGAGCGCAGTTGTAGCGGCCGACGCGAGTCGCGCCGCCATCCTGCCGCCAACGTACCTCGACCTCGCGTCGCCCCGCTGGAGAGTCGGCTTCAGCGGAAGCCGCCATATGATGGGACTCGCTGGGTGGCGCCGCGCCACGGATCTGCAGGTCAGTTCCCCCGCCGCGGGCTCCACTCAACGAGCCGCCGGCGCCGCCTCCGCCACCGCTGTCGCCGCCGCCGCTGCCGCAACAGCGGCGTTAAATTCCAGTCTCGGTTTCGGATTGGGGGGTTGCGCAGGCCAACCGCTGGTGGCGGAGGAGGAGGAGGAGGATGGGGAGGATGAAGAAGAGGCGCGCGAGGCGAAGGGGGAGATGATAAAGAGGGCGCTGCCGGGGGGGGGGCGTGCCGATTCCGCAAGCCCGCGTTCTCCGCGCGAGTTCAGCCGGCAGAACGCGCACAATTTTCCGCCACTGGTTGCGGTGAAGGATGCGCAGGCGCTGGTGGAGCGGATGATGGGGGACGCGGAGGGCGGAACGGGGGGAAGTGACGGGGGCGCGGGGAATGGAAAGAGGAAATTCGAAGGACCGTGGGAAATCGTGATGGACGGGTACGTGCGACGATCGAGACGCGTTTGCTTGCTAGTTCAGCTGGGACTTTTACTGGGACATTTCAGAAAATCTACTGTCTGTTACCATCTGCACTTTGCGTGCCTTGTCTTCAGGTGCAGCGGGCTTGCTTCGTCTACTTCCTCTGGTCCAGCTGTCATTAAAGTAGTGGACCACCTGCCTGACGTGGCATGTGCTGACGTGGCAGTGGAGGGGAAGCCGTGGGAGCAGGCTGAGCTGGCAATGAAGGAATGGACGGCAACAGTTGCCATGCTGGTGAGTGTGGGAGTGTGCGTTTTAAAGCAAGGGTGCACTTTGGGGGGGGTGGAGGCAAAGGTTTATCACTTGCCTCACCTTCCGTCGTCTGTTCCCCCAACCCAACTCTAGGACGAATTATTTTTGTGTTCGCCAGCACATTCTCCAACCCTCGCTCTAGTGTTTCATATGGTTGGACTCTTCGCCAACCATTCACAGCACCCCAAGGGGTGTACCAAACAAATACACCCGAAACCCACCCCTAGGAATGTGCACCCTTGCTTTAAGGTAGGTAGGGAGGGAGGTGGGAAAGATGGAAACGGGGTTTGGTTGAATACGCCCCTTTTCTGTTAGGACACACCCATTTTTTCTATTGTAAGGTGTAATCAATTTGTACATGCATGCGTGTTGGTGTGCTGTACATTGCGGGTACTTCCATGCGGGTATAATGTTCAAACTAGGACTACTAGTCCCCACCCCCTCCCCCACACAAGTGTTTCACGTGCACACCCTTTCCACTGCCCAACCAATCAGATGGCAGCGCTGCAAAGTGATGACGTCACTGCCGCTTCTGCTGGTGCTGCTGCAGTTACTGCTGCTCCTGCTGCTGCTACTGCTGTTGGTGCTGCAGCTGCTGGTGCAGGGGAGGCAGGGGAAGCTGGCACCAAGAGCACGGCAAATGTGGAGGAGCCATCTGTCGTTGCCCCACCATCGCCCCGCATCCCACCCCTCTCCGTCAAGCTTCCCCTCGACTCATTTTCGCGCCCTAGGCCACGCAAAGCCACGTCACCTTCTCAGCAGGCCACGTCCCCCTCTCAGCAGGCCACGTCACCATCACAACATGCCTCCTCACCCTCACAGCATGCCACGTCACCTTCAGATGAGGCCTGCACCCGAGAAAACGGCCTCAATGTAGATCCAAGCCACTGCACTGAGCCAGATGTACCTTCTGCTGCTGCTGCTGCGGCTGCTGCTGCTGCACCTGAGGGCATCGAATGTGGGTTGCAAGACTCGTTCTATTCGTGCCGTTCCTCCCTCTCCTTCTCATTCGCGTCTGACAGCTTCAACAGCAGCATCCGCAGCAGCAGCATCAGTAGCAGCAGCAGCAGCAGCAACAACGGTAGCAGCACCACAGCAGCAGATGCCACAACCACCATCACCGCACCACCCACGAGAGCAGCAGCAGCAGCAGCAGCAGCAGAAGCAGCGGCCAGCATCTCCCTTTCATCCATCGTATCTCATCTCCTCTCCAATGCCCACACTCTCGCCGACCCTTCTTCGCCCCCGGGCAGCTTGCGCAAGTCTCTGCTGCTCGCTGAAATGTTTGTTGCTGCCCGCCGGTCTGCCCCTGTGGTAAGCAAGCACCTGGAGTTCAGTAATAGATGAGTGGACTCAAGTCAAATACTGCCAGAAGAAAGAGTGAAACGAGTCCCGGGGCTTGTGGAAAGACCGGACGGTTGCACCACATGCACGACATGCATGACATGATGACATGATGACATGCATGTGGTAGCACCGTCATCCATGCTCACTATCTTGTCCTTTTCATTTTCCCTCCCTCTCAGTTCGAAGCCTACCTGGCAGGCAAGCCAGGGGGACACGTGGTGGCGTCTGATTGGTCAACGCAGCTCCCAAGGCACCTGGCGGAGGGCGTGCTGGGGGCGTTTGAGTGGGTGGCTGTGGGGCTGGAGCGGGCGGCAGCAGCAGCAGCAGTGCCAACACGCACAAAGATCTCTGCCAGGTAGAGAGCACTTGTGTTTGAGGTATTTCTGAGACGTCAGAATGAGGTGCCTCATATCTAGAGTGGGTCGCTGTGGGGCTGGAGAGCGCTGCGGCTGCAGCAGTGCCAACACGCACAAGGATCTCCACCAGGTGGAGAGCGCTTATTCATACAGCAGAAGCAGAAGCAGAAGCAGCAGTAGCAGTCTACCAGGTAGTGCCATTGAGGCGCCTCAAGAATCAACCGACTCAAATGTCACCCCACTACAAATCTACAAATCAGCCGCTCATTAACCCTTGTCCTTGTCCTTGTCCCCGTCCCCGTCCCCCTCCCCCTCCCCCTCCCCCTCGCCCTCGCCCTCGCCCTCGCCCTTCCCCCCCCCAGGCAACAGCTGGCATCTCTCCTCTCACCGCGCCATCACAAGGTCGCTCCGCTCGCCTCCCCCCGGAGGGCGTCCCCCCCGCTCCTCTCCCCCCGCAAGTCGTCCCCGCCGCCTGCCTCTCCGCGTGCCGGCTCACCCGTGGGCGGGCAGGGGGACCCGAAGCCGCTGCCCATGGTGGTGCGCGTGGTGGGGCACGTGGAGGAGTATGGCGACTGGTGAGGCATGAGGGGGGGGTGTGTGTGGGGTCACGTTGGCTAGGTGTTGCTTGGTTGGGAGGTGGCTGTATCAACTGGTAATGCCCATGGTGGGGCACGTGGAGGAGTGTGGTAACTGGTGAGAAGGGAGGGGGTTAGGTGCTAACTTGGCTTGGTTGACTTGGTTGGCTTGGTTGACTTGACTTGGTTGACTTGGTTGGCTTGGTTGACTTGACTTGGTTGACTTGGTTGGCTTGGTTGACTTGACTTGGTTGGCTTGGTTGACTTGACTTGGTTGACTTGGTTGGCTTGGTTGACTTGACTTGGTTGGCTTGGTTGACTTGACTTGGTTGACTTGGTTGGCTTGGTTGACTTGACTTGGTTGGCTTGGTTGACTTGACTTGGTTGGCTTGGTTGACTTGACTTGGTTGACTTGACTTGGTTGACTTGACTTGGTTGACTTGCCTCAACACTTCCTAGCACATCCCATGTGCCTGTCTCGTCTCATCGTGACTTCCTTCCTCTTTTTCCGCTTCACCCCTCTCCACCACATACCACCCCTAACCACTCCACCCCACCACCACCAGGGACACTCCTGCTCCGTTCATCCCTCCACCCAACCCTGATGCACCCACAGCTTCGGTCCGAACCTACGGAGGAGCCTTGGCAAGCATCTTCAGGGAGTTCGGAGGAAGGGAAGGAGAAGGAGGAGGAGTGGACGAGCAGGGTGTGACTATAACGGGATTGACTGAACGAATAATGGGGGCGCTTATGGGGGTTGTGGAGGGGAAGGCGGCAGCATGTGATGATGACGTCATCAGGGCACTGTTCATGCTCAACAACACATGCGTCATCCAGCAGTAAGCCATCTCACTTCCAGTGTTGAGACATCACAAAACTGGAAACCACTGTAGTATTTTTCACCGCCTCTTCCTTCCTTTTGAATCTAGTGGCACAGTGTTACTGCAATCATTATTTTGCTCGGGGTCCTGTCTTTTCTAGTCGACTCAGAAGTAACTTGTTCTGATTATCCGCCCCATCATCGTTCTGCACCATTCCGCACCATTCTGCAACGGTTTTCATCTGCAACTCACACGGTCCTCATCCTCCGTCACATCCCATTCCGTCCCTTGACCAATCAGAGCCTGCCAGCGCTTCCCATCAATCAGCCCTGTGTCAGCCACAGTGGAGGACCACTCACAGGCCTTCCTGCTCGCAGCTACCAGGAAGGTGAGTCGCAGCTACCAGGAAGGTGAGTCGCAGCTACCAGGAAGGTGAGTCGCAGCTACCAGGAAGGTGAGTCGCAGCTACCAGGAAGGTGAGTCGCAGCTACCAGGAAGGTGAGTCGCAGCTACCAGCAAGGTGAGTCGCAGCTACCAGGAAGGTGAGTTGCAGCTACCAGGAAGGTGAGTTGCAGCTACCAGGAAGGTGAATGAGCCATGCTGATGTGGCATCCACGTGGCAAGCAGGCCGGCAGCAGACCTCGCACCTTGCCTCAATGTCTCCCCTTCCTGCTGCCTTGATAACCCATACCTCACCTCCTATCTCACCATACCTCACCTCCTAACTAACCCACCTCACCTCCTCTTCCAGTGTCCTCCCAGACCTCCCAGCATTCCTGATTCTTTGCCCTCCACCACCCTCCTGACCCCCTCTCCACTCCCCTGCCTTCCCCTCTCATCCCTGCATCTCAACCACCCCTGGTCCCCCTCCTCTACGTTATCCTCCTCCATGCCCCTCTGTATTTTCCCCTAACCCCTTAAGAGGCGCACCAAATGTCATCTCTTCCCTGCATCTCCTCCAACTCTGCTCTCCCCCTCTATGTTCCCCCCTGACCCCTTTTTGGCATCCCCGTTTCACACTGCTACCACAGCTGCTGCAGGCACTACCATCTCCCGAAAAGAGCTTGAAGATGAGCCAACGACATGTGGAGGAGAGGTGAGGCGTAGGGGAAGGTAGGGGGGGAAGGTAATCCAATTTTCATTCGTATTTATGAAGGCTACTTATTACTCTCTCGCCAGTCACGTGGTAATTACATTCTTATTCGGCAATCATTTCGTTACAGTGCAAGGTAGGATGGTAGCATGGGAGCTGATGTCTAGCGATACCTGTGTATGTGATGTGCATACCAGGGACGTCTCTAATCAGAGATGGTCAAACAGAACTCATAAATGTCGCACATGTGACTGCCCTCCTGTGTTGCATATAAAAGATGCAAATTACCGCCCTCCTGTAATGTGCATAACTCGGCACTGATTTTTTCCGCACTCTTTTCCCCCATGTCCCCAGGCTTTCCGAATTCAACAAGGAGTTCGAGTCCCTCTCGCTGCAGCAGCTCTCCTGGCCAATAGTGGACGACGATTGCCGAGTCGCAATGCGCAAGAGATGGGCCGCTCACATTGAATCCGTCTACAGCGATTTTGTCGACCCTCACTTGTAAGTTAATCATAAAACCGTGAGGTATGTACAGAATGTTTACTTTTATTGTGCAGGGTTTCTTCCATCAAATGTTGCACACGCACAAGGTCCACAAAATATATCTTAAATCATCCCACTTTGTTCTCCTTTTGCCGTTTTCCAGGCACTGGTTGCCCGACTCTCCCGCCTTCCGCCTGGATCCGCCAACGCTAGAGCGCCTAATCCTCAAGACATTCTTTCCTCGCCCCCGTTCATGCACCACCGCAGCCCGTTCTCCTCGCTTCTTACATGCAAATGAGTCTAGCTTGCTTTCATTGTCACCTTTGCCTCATTCATGCCCTCTTATTGAAACAAAGGAAAGAAATGTAAGCTGATATATTTACTATTGTATATAAATTACTAAAACATAACAGACTACCGTACAACCAGCCTTGCTGAAAGAGGAAGTGTATGGTCCACCGGTATTTATGGTAGAGATTCCTATCACGTTTGGATTTGGACAGTGTGTTTGCAGGCACATCACGTACTTTACCGAACCGAATAGAACCGAAGATGGTGTGTGGTGTTGCAGCTGGTATTTTTCCTGCGCTTGTGGTTGGGGGGGATAGGAAGTTGACAACTGAGCAGGAGACTGGTGCTGGCGAGTGCCTCGTGACGTGACTCCTCACAAGGAAGCTCGCATTCTCGTGCATTGCACTCTACGCCATTTCCCATGTCCTCCTGTACTTGGGTGGGTGCTTCCTCCATGCATTCGCGTGAATGCAGATGGATCACCTTCACCATGATTTTTTGTGCCGCGGTTCAAGACTTCACCCACACTTTGCTTGCTACCAGTGACTGCGATTCTTTGGTTTCTTTGCACGCCCGTTAGATTCTCTGTCGACCCCACCGCACCCTCATCGCATCTTTTCCCTTAGCGAACATCCAGTCACGCCTACGACACAGAGTACCTTCCTTCTCCTTCCCCACTTCATTCAAACCTTTACCTCCGCATCCATAGCACAAAGCACTAGCATACAGGGCGATAGCATGAATCGCCACCAACATTATCAAGACATTGTTTTGAAACGAAAGAGCTCCGATTCTTTCCAGGGCTTAATCGTCATGGCGAAGACATACAGGTGTCCGACGTCTAATGATGATGTCAGTAGATTGGCATCTGCTGGCAGGTTCAATGGCCCAGTAACAATTCGTAGTGATGCTGCTGATGTCCCGCTCTTTGATGGCGTCGCATATAGCTTGAGTCATGGATACGCCGAGGCAAATTTATGCGAACACATCTCTGTTTCAGGACCACACGGCAATTCCGAGAGAACTGTCGATACTGGCGTAGACCTAGGTGAATCAAGTACCTGGAGTCTGACAGGCGACCCACACCCGCCACAAGCTTCAGCAAGGCCACCCCTACCTAGATTCAAGGCCTGCCACGGAGGACCCGTGCTTTTGCGAATGCTGGCGAAGAAGCACTACAGCTATCGTGCAGCGCGCAAGGAACCGTTGGTATCACCAGTGCCAAAGCATGAAGACTACATTGTCCAGTCTGAGCCATTTCCCCACCTACCCGTTTCACTACCACCAACCTTCCTCGACCTGCAATCGAGTCGCAAACGTAGATGTACCTTGTTCCAGTGATGCCGAACTGCTAATATTGTAGAGCGCAACCGCGCAGCCTGGATAATCGAACTAGAACTACATTACTAAACGATTAGGCTCCTTAGTTTAAATGATTCAATCCACGTCGGTCAGGCAGCGGACAGCAATGGTAACACCTTTCTTTCAACAAAATTGTTGCAAAACTGGCATCCGTTGACATGTCCATCTGGGTTTGAACTATAAAACTACACAATTAACCCATCTAGCAAGATCGCCATGCCATGAGCCGCAAGCTCTCAGCAATCCCAGACAGCGACCCCCCAGCGCACCCAACCAGATAATGCACCACCTTACTTCTTCTTGGCAGCAGCCTTGGTGACCTTGGCACCGGAGGGATCCTTCTTCTCAACGCTCTTGATGACACCGACAGCCACTGTTTGTCGCATGTCACGCACGGCGAAGCGACCAAGAGGAGGGTACTCGGAGAAGGTCTCCACGCACATGGGCTTGGTGGGAATCATCTTCACGAAGCAAGCATCACCGTTCTTCACGAACTTGGGCTCCTTCTCCAGCTCCTTTCCGGAACGCCTGTCCACCTTGGTGATGATCTCAGAGAACTTCACGGCAATGTGGGACGTGTGGCAATCCAGCACAGGGGCATAGCCGTTGCCGATCTGGCCGGGGTGGTTCATGATGATGACCTGCGAGGTGAAGTTGGCAGCCTCCCTGGCGGGGTCGTTCTTAGAGTCGGAGGCGACGAAACCACGCTTGAGCTCCTTCACCGACACGTTCTTCACGTTGAAGCCAACGTTGTCACCGGGGCCAGCCTCAGGCAGAGACTCGTGGTGCATCTCCACCGACTTCACCTCAGTGGTCAGACCGCTGGGAGCGAACACCACGACCATACCGGGCTTCAGCACACCAGTCTCCACACGACCGACCGGGACTGTTCCGATACCGCCGATCTTGTACACGTCCTGAAGGGGCAGACGCAGGGGCTTGTCGGACGGCCTCTTGGGCTCGGACACCTGATCCAGAGCCTCCAGCAGGGTGGGGCCCTTGTACCAGTCCAGGTTGGTGGAGCGCTCAATCATATTGTCACCCTCGAAACCGGAGATGGGCACGAAGGGAATCTTGTCGGGGTTGTAGCCGACCTTCTTCAGGTACGACGACACCTCCTTCACGATTTCCTCGTAACGAGCCTTGGAGTACTTGGGGGTGGTGGCATCCATCTGCATAACGCAACAATGTCAGCGTTAATACCAGAAGACTACGGCCGACACTTTGAAAGACGATCACGAAAGCAGGGATCAACGAACAAGACACCAGCTCTCGAAAATTAATTTAAACAGAAATTGAATCCCAGCGGCAAAACAGACTGATCCACGAATTGCTTACCTTGTTGCAGCAGCAGATCATCTGCTTCACACCAAGGGTGAAAGCCAGCAGAGCGTGCTCACGGGTCTGACCATCCTTGGAAATACCGGCCTCGAAACCACCAGTGGTGGAGTCGATGATCAGAACAGCGCAGTCAGCCTGTAACAAACATGCCAAATAAGGTCAGATCGGGCACTCAGGGCACGGAATCAGACAAAATAAAAACCAGAACTCCGAACAACCCACTAACCTGCGAGGTTCCCGTAATCATGTTCTTGATGAAATCGCGATGGCCGGGAGCGTCGATGACCGTGCAGTAGTACTTGTTGGTCTCGAACTTCCACAGAGCGATATCGATGGTAATACCACGCTCGCGCTCCGCCTTGAGCTTGTCCAGCACCCAGGCGTACTTGAAGGACCTCTTGTTCATCTCAGCGGCTTCCTTCTCGAAACGCTCAATCACACGCTTGTCAATCCCACCCAGCTTGTAGATGAGATGACCAGTCGTCGTCGACTTGCCGGAGTCGACATGGCCGATAACGACAATGTTGATGTGCAACTTTTCCTTACCCATGGTGCTCAACTGAAGGGAAAAGGGGGGTTTAGAAAAGGAAGATGTGTCAGATCTTTCTAATGTTCAGCCTAATCTAGCAAGCGCGCAGACGGCAAGCAAACTTATGTGAAGTCGATACACGTTCTCTTAGCAATTCCTCAATCTAGTTAACCATCAACTACGTGTAGTGCGTACCTGATGGGGAAGGGGGGATCTGAAGCTGCGAAAGGGAGGGGCTAACGAGAGCCCTGAAACCTGAAGTTCCAAAAATGAACCCCTTGGATGGGAATGATGTCTAATGAAGCAGGAGGGCCAAAGCAGCAGAGCTGGTTGGAGGCGGAATCTCGAATGACCCACACCTCGAATCTCAAGGCCAGGTCTGGAAGCAGGGTGCAGCCTGCTGCTGGCCTGGTTGGGGTGGCTTCGGTTCGGCTCGGAAGTTCGTTCAACTGGTCCGTCAGGAGCCTTGTTTTTGTCGCAAGCCACGTGTACTTGCGAAATTGCTTTCGCGCCGTCAAGGAGCTCCTCGCTGAACTTGTCGCTGATGTGGCGATTCCCGTTTCCTCCTTGGGCGGTTTGAAACAATTTACCGCCGGGTATCATGTGGTAAACCCTCACAAAACCTCCGCTGCCAAATTGAGTTACCACACCCACCACACTTCTTCAAGTGTGAAATCATCACAATATGACTCGCTAAATAATTTCAGAAACGATTCTGTATCCACTAAATACACCAGCGACCTATAATACCTATAATGTAAACTATACAATGACTACGAATATTTTGAATCGACGAAAAATCGAAGACACGACTCGCATATAGTCTGCAGGTTAATCCACGTGACATACGCATGCACAAATAATATATGACGAAAATGCTTTCAATCACTCTCTATGATTGTACTTGCATTGAGCATAGGAACAAGCTAAAAGGAAAATGGAGAACTATGCTGCGATCAGAAAGTGATCGTAGCCAGGATCACCTCAGGAAGGTTCGCACACTCTTAGACTAGTGGTGGTGGGCCCTTGACCTCAATAGCAGAGTGAATTTAAATGCTTGAGATGATAAAAACATGCAATACAAAGGATATAAATAAGAGTACAAGGGAATTCGAAACGACCTAGCTAGCCATGTACTCTAAGGGGTACATTCCCTTATTACAGTGAAATCCAACCGTGCGACTCCGAGTGGTTACGTAACTGTACGGGCAGAATCCTCGCCACTGCTGCTGCCTGATGCTGTCTGCCTGTCGGTCCAGATGCCTTTCGTAACCGTGTGACCCTTCGTGTCACTTGCGCCCTTTCATCTTCAGTCTCGGTAGTGCGTGCTTCGGTTGCTGCGGTGAGGAGTGTATAATAGTGTTTCAACAATCACTATTCGTAACACCCCCCTTCACTCCTGGCCGTAGCGAGTCTTGACCCGCTTGACTACCCCGCTGAGTTCGGAGCAGTGCTGGTACTGCTGACGTGACAGCTTCTTCGTGAGGAAGTCAGCTGCC